GATCCCCAATGTAAGGGACATTCCCATGACCCCAATGAAAGGAACATTTTCCACTGTCCCAAGAAAGGGGAATTTTTCCCATGTCCCAAAAGTAAGGAGCATTCTTCCCACTGACCCCAATGTCGGAAATTTTTCCCCCTCCCCCAAAGTAAGGGATTTCTTCCCACTGATCCCAATGTAAGGGGATTCTTTCGTGCCCCCCAATGAAAAGGAACATTTTTCCCCATGACCCCAATGTAAGGAGCATTTTTCCCCACTGATCCCCAAATGAAAGGGACATTCTCCCAATGTCCACCAATGTAAGTGACATTCTCACATGATCTCCTATGTAATGGGGACATTTCTTCCACTGATCACCAATGTAAGGAGCAATTACTTCCCACTGATCACCAATGTAAGGGAACATTCTTCCCACTGACCACCAATGTAAGGGGACATTCTTCCCATGACCTCCAATGTAAGGGATATTCTTCCAACTGATTCACCAATGTAATGGGCATTTCTTCCACTGAGCATCAATGTAAGGGTGACCACCAATGTAAGGGACATTTTCCCACTGACACCAATGTAAGGAGCATTCTTCCCACTGACCACCAATGTAAGGGACATTCTTCCCACTGACCACCAATGTAAGGGCATTCTTCCCACTGACCACCAATGTAAGGGACATTCTTCCCACTGACACAATGTAAGGGGACATTCTTCCCATTGATCACCAATGTAAGGGAAAATTCTTCCCACTGACCACCAATGTAAGGGACATTCTTCCCACTGACCTCCAATGTAAGGGACATTCTTCCCACTGACCACCAATGTAAGGGACATTCTTCACACTGATCACCAATGTAAGGGACATTCTTCCCACTGATCACCAATGTAAGGAGCATTCTTCCCACTGATCACCAATGTAAGGGACATTCTTCCCACTGACCACCAATGTAAGGCACATTCTTCCCACTGACCACCAATGTAAGGAGCATTCTTTCCACTGACCACCAATGTAAGGAGCATTCTTCCCACTGATCACCAATGTAAGGGACATTCTTCCCACTGACCACCAATGTAAGGGACATTCTTCCCACTGACCTCCAATTTAAGGGACATTCTTCCCACTGATCACCAATGTAAGGGACATTCTTCCCACTGACCTCCAATGTAAGGGACATTCTTCCCACTGACCACCAATGTAAGGGACATTCTTCCCACTGACCACCAATGTAAGGAGCATTCTTCCCACTGACCACCAATGTAAGGGGCATTCTTCCCACTGATCAGCAATGTAAGGACCATTCTTCCCACTGATCACCAATGTAAGGAACATTCTTCCCACTGATCACCAATGTAAGGGAAATTCTTCCCACTGACCACCAATGTAAGGGACATTCTTCCCACTGACCACCAATGTAAGGGACATTCTTCCCACTGATCACCAATGTAAGGGACATTCTTCCCACTGATCACCAATGTAAGGGACATTCTTCCCACTGATCACCAATGTAAGGAACATTCTTGCCACTGATCACCAATGTGCGGGATATTCTTCCCACTGACCACCAATGAAAGGGACATTCTTTCCACTGAATCCCAATGTAAGGGACATTCTTCCCACTGACCCCAAATTAATATATTTTATCAGGGGTTCCCTGGGACCTAAATTTTTTTTTCAAGGGTCCTTCTAGGGTAAAAAGGTTGAGAAAGGTTAAAGTAGATGAACTTGAACCAATGAAAGGTGTACACTTCCCACTATCCAGTACTGTGAGGAGCATTCCTCCCAAAACACCTGTTGAATTTATTTTAGCTGGGGTTCCCTGAGACCTGGAATTGATTTTCAGGGTTCCTCTGGGGTAAAAAAGGTCATGAAAGGCTGCTGTAGACTATATAGGTTCACGGGAGGAAGGATGTTTTACTTTCTGGATTTTTTAGATGAACTGCTCTCTGAAAGGACATTCCGTATTTCGTTGTTACCAACTTCTACACATATGCCCACAATTTAATATTTATTAATAAACGTTGTCTCGCAATATTCCTGGAACCGTAGTTACTCCAATATTATAGTTCCATGGCTCACAAGCCGTAAGATCTCTCCTACGGTGTGGGATCTCTCCTACCAAGAGCTAAGCATTGCTAAACATACTTTGGCAGCAAAAAAAGAACAAAACAGGGCGCACTCTCCTCGTGCATTGCCGTGATGATAGGAAATTTATTGTAAAATTACAAAATGAATACTCACAAACCAAAAATGGTCATAAAAACAGAGAATAGGAGTAAAAGGTGTCAATAGCGGACAGCGATGTGTCAGTCACGACAGACGGTGTTCAATCCCACAAAGTGCTCTTGATCCAGTGCAAGGACCTCTACCACTATGCCCTCACCAAAGAGCTACTTGGTCAGTAGCATGTATATCTTGAGGTCTACACCATCTGCTCTCCAGCAGCCTTAACAGACCGGTTAGAACCGTAAGGAGAGATGGAGATCCAAGACAACTCGAGCTTAAAACAAACAAGCCAAGGATGTATTCACTTGTGTGGGAGAGTTTGGGGGTGTTGAGCAAGTGTGGATTGGTGAACCAGGGACTCCACTAAAGAATAGGTTACTGGAAGTATATTGACGTCCATCATGATACTGTTCTTGGTCCTAAATGTCATGTCAGAACTTGGATTTCAAGCAAGCCTTGTAGTACAATGCAAAGTCCATATTTACTATCCAGGTCACCTTACTCCTGTCTTTGGCATTGCTGAGCGTTTCGACTGTCTTTCAGGAATATTCTCCTTGGAATCTAGACCCGGTCAAAACTCATGAGAATGCACTCAAGGCCATTACAAGAATGTCTTCTCATGAGCTTTTGGCTGTTTTGTAGACCCCTGGATGGAGTTGGAGGAAATGAGACATCTTTCTAATCTAATAGAATTTTCCCAATACGCTAGATCTTGGAGTGGGTGCTGTAGCAACTATTAGCTGAAGACGGGAAACCACGCAAGTCAAAATATATATCACCAGCATACCATGGATCTTCAAGAGAACATCCAAAAATGTACATCACAGCAGTAAATTGCAAAATATAAATTCTGTATAATAATAATGATTTTCTGCTTTGATGTGCTTGCTCTGATACATTTTTGGACGTTATCTTGACAAACTAGAGTGTGCTGGTAATTTATGTTCTGAATCATCCTCACCTAGGCCCCGTGGGTGCAAGATGGGGATAAGGTAAGTATAAATCTAACTTTACAGGTACATTTTGCAATAGACAGTATGGACTACATATATATTGTGACAGTGATAGGCCCTGCCACCGTGTTAGTTGGACTGAGTTCTCACAGATGCAGATTGAGGGGCTCCAGAGCATTGGTTCTGAGTAGAAAAAACCTTTATTGCAGTTTTCTCTGGTTGTAACTCCTGGATTGGGTTCTGGAGTCTAGAGGCTTCAACGAGTCTTAGAAGGGACGAAGCCTCTAACCCTGTGTTCAGGTCATACCAGAGACCAGCAGGCTGTGTGTGCGGGTGTGCACAGCCCAAGGTTCTGACAGTAATTCAGGGTTCCATCCAGTAGACAGGAGGTTCCCTGCCCAGAGGCCATGGCATGGGTCAGAGCAGCAGGAAGCTGCAAGTGAAAGAAACCAAGAAAGCTGAGAGGTGCAGAGTTCTACGTGAGCTCAATGGTGATCAGAGACCATCTGAGGGACCAGACCAAAGGTCTAGGCTTAAGGCCTGAGCAACAGTGCTGTGAGAGGAAGCCAGGAGGCTTGAGGTAATTTTGCCTTTGCGTTCGAAGCGATGGTGGAAAACCCCTTATAAAAAAAGCCCTTTTAATCAAGGTTCTGACAGTAGTTCAGGGTTCCACCCAGGAGACAGGAGGTTCCCTGCCCAGATGCCATGGCATTGGTCAGAGCAGCAAGAAGCTGCAAGTGAAAGAAAGCTGCAAGTGAAAGAAACCGAGAAAGCTGAGAGGTACAGAGTTGTACGTGAGCTCAGTGGAGCTGAGGGACCAGACCAAAGGCCTAGGCTTGAGCAGCAGTGCTGTGAGAGGAAGCCAGAGGCTTGAGGTCATTTTGCCTTTGCTTTCCAAGTGATGGTGGAAAACCCCTGCAAGGGCAACCATTTTGTGGAGCTACCGCTTAACAAATTCTAAAACCTAATTTTCTGTCTGGAGTTAACTCCTTGGAAAGCACTACACCTTGAGTGAAACCCTCTGGAATATCATAATATATAGGCTATGTAGTAGTCGTTAGTAGACTATAGTTTTAGGGCGGAGGGTGCCTGAACAGTATCAGCATTTCACTAGAAGGTCCGCTTTTATTTGCAGGTGTGCACAGCCCTTATAATCAAGGTTCTGACAGTAGTTCAGGGTTTCACCCAGGAGACAGGAGGTTCCCTGAACAGATGCCATGGCATGGGTCAGAGCAGCAGGAAGCTGCAAGTGAAAGAAACCAAGAAAGCTGAGAGAGAAGTGCAGAGTTGTACATGAGCTCAGTGGTGCTGAGAGACCGTCTGAGGGACCAGACCAAAGGCCTAGGCTTGAGGCCTAAGCAGCAGTGCTGTGAGAGGAAGCCAGGAGGCTTGAGGTCATTTTGCCATTGCGTTCGAAGTGATGGTGGAAAACCCCTGCAAGGACAACCGTTTGGTGGAGCTACCACTTAACAAATTCTAAAACCTAATTGTCTGTCTGGAGTTAACTCTTTGGAAAGCACTACACCTTGAGTGAAACCCTCTGGAATATCATAATATATAGGCTATGTAGTAGTCGTCAGTAGACTATAGTTTTAGGGTGGAGGGGTGCCTGAGCAGTATCAGCATTTCACTGGAAGGTCCGCTTTTATTTGCAGGTGTGCACAGCCCTTATAATCAAGGTTCTGACAGTAGTTCAGGGTTCCACCCAGGAAACAGGAGGTTCCCTGCCCAGATGCCATGACATGGGTCAGAGCAGCAGGAAGCTGCAAGTGAAAGAAACCAAGAAAGCTGAGAGAGAGATGCAGAGTTGTACATGAGCTCAGTGGTGCTGAGACCGTCTGAGGGACCAGACCAAAGGCCTAAGCTGGAGGCCTGAGCAGCAGTGCTGTGAGAGGAAGCCAGGAATCTTGAGGTCATTTGCCATTGCGTTCGAAGTGATGGTGGAAAACCCCTGCAAGGACAACCGTTTGGTGGAGCTACCGCTTACCAAATTCTAAAACCTAATTTTCTGTCTAAAGTTAACTCCTTGGAAAGCACTACACCTTGAGTGAAACCCTCTGGAATATCATAATATATAGGCTATGTAGTGGTCCGTAGACTATAGTTTTAGGGGCGGAGGGGCGCCTGAACAGTATCATTATTTCACTGGAAGGTCCGCTTTTATTTCTTGGTAAGAAAGGCTTCTTGACAGGAGATAGAACCTTTTCCAGTTAAAATTAATTCAATCTTTAGGCTCCTGTATGTGTTGAAGGACGTTTAAAGCAATAAAAACACAGCAACCCTGAATGTCAACAACGAGAAGTAGTAGAAGAGGGAAGACAGGCTTTACTCCATTAATTAGCAAACACCAGAGAAAGTAAAAAGAGTTTACTCATCATTAGCGTAAAATACCTTCTAACAGCTTGAATTGTCTTCTTATCAATAATGTATACAGGAAGGGTCAAGCTTCAGTCTCAAATTTCATTGTAATGTTTAATGAAATGAAATACGGGGAGTGAAAGAGCACCTCCTCACCTCTGTATAGTGAAGGCTGCTGAGATAACAGATGGAATTCACCAAGCTAAGGTGTAAAAATAAAACATTAAGAAAATCATTTACTTGCAAATTGTAAATCCCATCAATTCTGGGCTAATCAAGGTTGTCAGCCACCCATGCAGTCTAATTTAGGATGACGGTAAAGCCTGTTAAGAAAATACATCTCCATAAAAATTATGCATTTTTTTTTCTTTTCGTTAGCCGATTAACTAATGACAGTGTTCTTGGCACATGGTCATCTGATTCATATTTGAATGTGCATTTAATAGAGCCTCCCAGATGGGCTGATGTTCTAAATGAGTAGAGAATGTTCATTTAGCTTAAAGTGACTCTTGGGAAAAGGAAAAAAAATTCTGGTTAAAGAAGAACCAAAAGTGCATCAGATCTTCACTCGAAGAGCTATGTTGATGGAAGACTCTTCAGGATTCAGCACACATCCAAGAGTGTTGATCGCCTGATTGTTGCACAACGTAGTTCCACCAGCCAAAGGATATATAATATGACACAAGAGCAGGGGCGGACTGACATTTTGGAAACTCGGACACTGCCCGAGGGCCCGGGGTCAGTAGGGGGCCCCATGAGATGCCCCTGGTACCTTTTTCATAGGCTTTTTTGAGTTTGGGCAAGGACACAGGGGCCCTATGATCCCCTATTGCC